AAGGCTGTGTCTGGGGAGACTGTCCTATGATGCCTGTGTCCCTAGCCCCGTGTGGGGTGCCAGGAGCCTTCGATGGAGGCTGTTCCCCATCTCTGCGCTGGTACTCGCGATCTCTACGAGCATCGTCCTTCTCGCGCTTCTTGCGCTCCTTGCTGGAGATCCCAGCCTCTGGGACCGCATGATCTCCTGGGGGTGCGGGGAGCAGGCCGTATTCCGCTGCCCATGCAGCCACCTGATCGAAGGACGGCGCCCCTGTCGGTGCGTGGCCCTTGCCTAAGCGCACCCCCCCCGTGCTTCCGGAAAAGGAGCGAGGGCCCTTGTGGCCCGGCCCCGCGCCCCCATCATGCAGGGGCCTGTGCTGCCCCTGACCTTTGGCTGGGCCGACCTTCGCATGTTGGTGACCTGCTGCCCGAGTCGGAAAACAGTTGGGACATGAGACGTCCATAGTGGTATTGGCCCGGCCACATTGCAGGCAATACCAGAACTCGGGAGGGGCGCTGCCTTTCTGGTGCACTGGCTGCTGGGGTGGAGGAAAAAAGTCCATGGGAAGGCGCGTGGCATAAAGAGACGGTGAGGGAGGAGCAGCCAAACGCTGGGTGGGAGAAGTAGCCATACCGTGCTGCTGCAGCCCAGATGTTGGCGAGAGAGGTGGCGCGTGCGGAGGGGGTAGGGTAGGAGGAACAGCGCCTTGCTGGGGGATACCCTGGAAGGAGTGGTGCTGCGAAAGCATCATCGCAGCCTTGTGCACCCTTAAAAGAGTGCGGGCGTTAGCGCGCTGCTTGCGCGCTCTGCGATGAGGAGCGGGCTCGTCGCGAGGCCGCTGGGGATAGGAAGGAGGAGAGTAGGCAGGCGTCGCGCCTGGCAGATGGCGGCCCGATAGGGCGTCGCGGCGGGGATCGGCGCGGAACCGGTTGTGCAACCGCTCGAGCCAAACCTAGGGAGGGAGGGAGGGAGGAGGGAGGGGGGGCGGGCAAGCTAGATGCGCTCGCGTCATATATGACATCCTACCCCTCCCTCCCATCCCTTACCATGGCGTAGATCCCCTCTCTACTCGCACAGTCGGATGTCGAGCAGGGCAATGATCCCGAAAGGGTACGCGATGCATTGTAGAGCACGGCATGGCATGGCGTAGAAGAGCACCGCAAAGCGTAGTATGTCACAGCATGGCGTAGCGTGGCGTAGTGAAGAATTGCATCACAAAGCTTTGCAACGCAAAGCATGGCATCGCACAGCGGTCCCGCACAGAGCATTGCATAGCATGGCGTTGAAGATCAAAGCGTAGCACGGCATAGCACGACGTGGCACTTAAGCACTGCATATCACAGTTTCAGCTGAAGGCATGGCATCGCGCAGCGGAACGCAACCTAGCATTGCATTGCATGCCGTGGCATGGCACGGGAAATGACGCCAGCGCTGCAGCGGGAGCACGATTCGGAACGAGCGGAAGCGCGGAAATGAGGCCAGCGCTGCAGCGGGAGCACGATTCGGAACGAGCGGAAGCACGGAAATGAGGCCAGCGCTGCAGCGGGAGCACGATTCGGAACGAACGGGGCCCGAAAATGAGGCCGGCGCCCCAGCGAGAGCAGCATTTTGAAAAAAAATGCAGGCGAAAACCCAACTCCGGGGAATCCTGTGTGTAAAAAACAATACGCGGGGGGGGGGCGAACACTCCCAACCCGTCATCAGGGGAATGAGGAGAGTAGTATTCATATGCAAGCTAGGTGCGCTCGCGTCATATCTGACATCCTGCCCCTCCCTCCCATCCCTTACCATGGCGTAGATCCCCTCTCTACTCGCACAGCCGGATGTCGAGCAGGGCAATGATCCCGAAAGGGTACGCGATGCATTGTAGAGCACGGCATGGCATGGCGTAGAAGAGCACCGCAAAGCGTAGTATGTCACAGCATGGCGTAGCGTGGCGTAGTGACGAATTGCATCACAAAGCTTTGCAACGCAAAGCATGGCATCGCATAGCGGTCCCGCACATGACATTGCATAGCATGGCGTTGAAGATCAAAGCGTAGCACGGCATAGCACGACGTGGCACTTAAGCACTGCATATCACAGCGTCAGCTGAAGGCATGGCATCGCGCAGCGGAACGCAACCTAGCATTGCATTGCATGCCGTGGCATGGCACGGGAAATGACGCCAGCGCTGCAGCGGGAGCACGATTCGGAACGAGCGGAAGCGCGGAAATGAGGCCAGCGCTGCAGCGGGAGCACGATTCGGAACGAGCGGAAGCACAGAAATGAGGTCAGCGCTGCAGCGGGAGCACGATTAGGTACGAGCGGGGCCCGAAAATGAGGCCGGCGCCCCAGCGAGAGCAGCATTTTGAAAAAAATGCAGGCGAAAACCCAATTCCGGGGAATCTTGTGTGTAAAAAACAGTACGCGGGGGGGGGGGCGAACACTCCCAACCCGTCATCAGGGGAAGCAGGAGAGTAGTATTCATATTGAGTAATTGTTGAGTAATTGTGGAGGGGGGGGGAGGAGGAGGAGGAGGAGGAGGAGGAGGAGGAGGAGGAGGAGGAGGAGGAGGAGGAGGAGGAGGAGGAGGAGGAGGAGGAGGAGGACGACGACGACGATGACGACGACGACGACGACGAGGGGACGAGGAGGACGCTGAGGACGAAGAGGAGGACGAGGACGAGATGCGACCGAGGACGAGGACGATGACGAGGACGAGGACGAGGATTAGGACGAGGACGAGGACGAGGACGAGGACGAGAAGGAGGAGGAGGAGGAGGAGGAGGAGAGGAGGAGGAGGGAGGGGGAGGAGGGGGGGGGAGGAGGAGGAGGAGGAGGAGGAGGAGGAGGAGGAGGAGGAGGAGGAGGAGGAGGAGGAGGAGGAGGAGGAGGAGGAGGAGGAGGGAGGAGGACGAGGAGGAGGACGAGGAGGAAGATGAGGAGGATGAGGAGAAGGAGGAGGAGGAGGAGGAGGAGGAGGAGGAGAGGAGAGGGAAGGAGGAGGAGGAGGAGGAGGAGGAGGAGGAGGGAGGAGAGGAGGAGGAGGAGGAGGAGGAAGGAGGAGGAGGGGAGAGGGAGGGAGAGGAGTAGGAGGCGCGGGCAGCCTGGTGGTACACAATCCGTCGGGAAGTGCCAGCACGCAACCTCGAGCCACAGCAGGCATCTTGTCGGCCACTGGGGCGAACGGGACAGCATGGATGGGGCACATCACGTGTTGTTAGGGGGCCGCGCGGTTATCAAGGATTGTACCCTTCGCTCCCACGGAAGGCCCCCCTCCCAAAAATCAGAGTCAGTCCAGGGCCTTTCCCACATCCGAGTGGAGGCCTCGAGCAGCATACTTGATTTTCAAAGCGTGGGTGATTCGATTGCTGGGGTGGGCGCTGCGCCCTTGGTAGAAAACGCCCAGCCCACGGCTGGCACACCTGCGTGGGCACGAGATTGATGCCCTCGGCTACGCCGACGACGCTATCCCCTGCAGTATCCTTTTGTGCCAGGGTCGCCCATGGGTGTGCCTGATCAACGATCGGGCCCTGGAAGTTACAGAGAGCTCTCGCTGGGCAACGCCCGAAGGAAAGAGTGTATTATGCGGTGATTTGAAGAGCCCCCATGCCTCTCGCCTAGGCGGTGACAGGAGCTGCAGGAAGCGAGCCGCAGCATCGTGCGGCATGCGCAAGGGACAGTCGGAGTCATGACATCTGCGTGCTGGTCCCTCGGTGTCCCTCATTCTTCCCCATTCCCCCATTTTTCCTATCTCTCTCTCCATCTCTTCTTCCCGTTCTCTCCTTCTTCTTCTTCTGTTTATCGCCTCCTCTCTCTTCCTCTTCCTCCTCCTCCTCCTCCTCCTCCTCCTCATTATCCTTCCTCCTCCTTCTCATCATCATCATCATCATCATCATCATCATCAGCAGCAGCAGCAGCAGCAGCAGCATCATACTCCTCATCCTCATCCGCCTCCTCCTCTCCCTCCTCGTCATACTCATCATCTTCATCCGACCCACTCATCACCACAATCAACATCGCACCACCACGTGTGTCATCGCCCTCATCGTCACCATCGTGGTCGTCGTCGTCACCGTGTCGTCGCCTTTGTCATTATAATCATCATGACCTCCCCCGGAAATCCATAACAACCCGAAGAGCCCATATATGGCCCGAAACCGCACAAAACCTACTAATCCTCATCGTCTATCCTCATCCCTCCTCGTCTCTCATTCTCCTCTTCCTCTTCCTCCTCCTCTGCCTCCTCCTCCTCCTCCTTTTCCTCCTCCTCCTCCTCCCTCTCCTCCTCCTCTCCTCCCTCCTCCTCCTCCTCCTCCTCCTCCTCCTCCTCCTCCTCCTCCTCCTGCCCCCCCCTCTTCCCTCCCCCACCTTCCTTGTGTGGCCTTCGCCTTTCCCTTTTCCCTGCCCCTCATCATCCGCAGGCATCCTCCTGTCCCTGCTCGTTCGCATCTTCTCCTCGTCCCCCCTCCCTCCTTGTTGCCGTGATATGGACCACGGGCGGAGCATGTACTTCGCGTCTCTGGTTTGAGTTTGGCCCGGAGTGGTTAGGCAAGCAGTTGCCAGGGGCTAGAACCAGTTTGCCCCGTTTTCTGAACGGTTTGCACCCCCACTGCAGGAACGAAGGCGAGCGCGGTACCCAATCTCCTCGGCGAGATGTCAATTACTTGTGCTATGCTGCAACCGCTCCTCCACCTCTCGAAGTTTCACTGCCAGCTCAGGGCATTGAAGGTTTGGTTCAGACGCCTGAGATGGTTGAAGTGATATCCCGCATCGAGGCGAGAGAGGCTGCACGGCAAGGCGCATCCCACAGCTTAGGCTAAAGTGTTGGCCTCCTCGGTCTTGCCCACTGGCTCGCAGAGGGAACACGTCCTCCACTTCTCGAGCTCCGCGTTCCGCTCCTCCCCCCTCCGCCTCTCTCCAATCCGTCCGTCCTCCCCTTCTTCCCTCTTCCCTCCGTCCACCGACGATGAGGTCTGGGTCTAAGGTCCCTGCCGTGGGCTCACCCTCCTGATTGAGGAGACCTTTCCACGAAG